CTTTGAAGGTGACTGAAATTTAAACATGTAAGAATACACAATTTTCAGTAAGTAAATTCTGGGTCTTTTGGATCCTCCCTTGTACACCTATCAGAATGACTAAAATTTTAAAAAATGATATCAACATGACGACACCGGATCATTCATAGACCACTGGTGGGTATTTAAAATGTTACAGCCATTCTGGAAAAGTTTGGAAATTTCTTATAAACGAAACATTCAACTACTATGTGACCCAGCAATTGCACTGCTAGGCACTGATCCCAGAAAAATAAGGACTATGTTCACACAAGAAAACCTGTACACAAATGCTTTTAGTAACGCTATTTATTATAAAAGCACCAACTGGCCCAATGTCAATCAGCAGGTGAACAGTTAAACTGTAGTACATCCATACTATTTGCACTAAAAAGGAACTATTGATAGAGCTGATACATACAATCACCTGGATGAACTCCAAGGAAATATGTTCAATAAAAAAAAGCCAATCCAAAAGGTTAAATGCTACAATGGTTTCAGTAATAAAACACTACTTAAATAGAAAAACAAAAAGAACAGATTATGGGTGCCAAGGGTTAAGGATGGAGTGAGGATGGCTCTATGGCTGTAGAAGGCAATATGAGGGATCTTTGTGTCGGAAAACGTTCTGCATAGAAATGTTCTCTAGCCAGGCTCGGTGGCTCAGCCTGTAATCTCGCACCTTTGGGAGGCTGAGGTGAGTGGATTGCCTGAGCCCGCAGGTTCGAGACCTGCCTCGGCAGGGAGACCTCATCTCTACAATAAATCAAAAAATCAAAAAGGCGGGCATGGTAGCGCGCGCCTGTATTTCTGGCTACTCGGAAAGCTGAGGCGGAAGGATCGCCGGAGCCCAGCAGGTCAAGGCTGCGGTGGCAGTGAGCATGCCACTGCACTCCAGCCTGGGCAGCAGAGTGAGACACCAACTCAAAAAAAAAAAAAAAAAAAAAAAAAAAAAAATGTTCTCTATCTTGAATGGACGCATGTCAACATCCTGATTGTGATATTGTACTATAGTTTTGCAAGATGTTCATTTTGTGGGAAACAAAGTGAAAAGCACACGAGAGACATCTCTGTATTATTTCTTACAACTGCACGTGAGTCTAGTTATCTCAAATAAAAGTTTAAATAAAAATCTAGCGTTTAACATTCTTACACTTTGTAAAGACTGGGTCATTTCAAACATCCTTGTCATTCCAAAGGCAATTATTGGTCATCTGTTTCCATTCCAGGTTTAAGAAACATTTCATACAACATAGAAAATTTCAAAATTACTAAGAAAAATGTTTGATCACAGATCAGGAAAAGATACAAAGACAATAAGGTAGCCTTCATCTTGAACAAGAAATGTCCTATTGCATCCCAGATATAACTAATGTGAATGATGCATAACTAAGGTTATCTTACTAAATTTTGATATGTACCCCGCTGCAAAATGTAATTGTGTTAAAACCATGGTAACCTTTAGTGAAGGTAAACATTAAATTTGGCCCTGGAAAGAGGTTGGATGTGGTGAGGCATACTGAAAATGTCTTGAACTCAAAACGCCATAACACCTGGGTTTGGAAAATTATATATACTTGCCACTAAAATTTGGCTTATGTTTAAAATCATTATTGACAGGATTCACTTTGATCTGAAGGCTTTTCATCATCGTCATTAGCTGAGTTATTTTTTAAAAAAAGCAAAAGCTTGCATCTTAGGTTAAAATCTTAATTTCTAGAAAATAGGTTCTTTTTTTCCTACTCTGAGTTCAGCATTTCAGATATACCATAACGGTTGACGTAAAGCTTTTAGAGGGCAATAAAAAGTGAAACTAGGTATTAGAAAGTCTTAATTCAGCCTGGGTAACTACATGTCTACGTCTTCTACCAATGCTAATAGGTTTTGGAGTTAGTAACTACTGTTTAACATACTTACAGTAAACACTTAAAAATTTGTACTTTGGCTTGGCCAAAGTGGGAATTAATGCTCTTTCAAGTTTATTTAAAGACTCAGTTCAGTTCTAGAAGACTCCTTCTAAAACAAGGAGGGGTGTTATGCATGTAACAACTGCACAGGAAATCTGGTTTTGCCTTCCACCACTTACATTTTAAGCAGAAATGCCATCACTACACAAAACTTACAGGAATCCCACTCTCAGTAATTAAGTGACCAACCTCTTAACAACTTGCCAGAAGCAACAGTGTCTATAATAACCTATTTTGTGTGCTTAGTTCTATTTCTACATTGAAAATTAGGATTATTTGGAGAAAAATAAGATATTACACAATATCCATGTTAACCAAAGCTTCAAAACAAATCATGAAAATTGGCATATTAATATAGCATTTAAGTTATAAGAAAATGTATTGGCATGAGCCATTAAGAGGGTTTTCTTTTTTATTCCCATTTGATTAAAAGCACTTTGTCAAATGATAGAGTTAAATTAAAAACATGTTAAGGTATATTTTATAAGGGGCATACACAAAGCTTTTACTTTGTGTTTTCTAATGAAATAGATTCCAGATCCCTCTTAGCTCTCACCCCTTTCCAATGCTTTGCCTTCTGTTGGGAGCAGTAATTCTATATACATCCCGTGAATGTGGGTCCTGACTATGAGGATGCCTGAGGCCTGAATCCAGCTGCTGCCACCAAAAGAATAGCTTGTTTTTGGAGACATCACACACAGATCATCAAATTAGTAGCTACTCTTTAAAAACTGGCAATTTTCTTGTAGTCTGTTGAGAAAATGAAATTTAGTTGCCTGCTGAGGGGAAAACAGGATAAACAAAGGCTGGTCCTTAAGTGTGAAAGATGCCCAGATGTTACATACTAGGGGGATGTGAAAGGGTGTTCTTACACATTCCCTTATCTGACATTTTCCTTTAACATCAAGCGCTTTTTATCTACCAAATGGCAAAATGTAATCTCCCAGAGGGCAGGGACCCTGAATATTTGTTTTCACTCTTAAAACTCTGCATGTCCAAGCATGTAACAGCCTGGCAAAAAGCTGGCCCCCCAAAAGTGCCAAATTAAATATTTTTTGTGCAGACACTCTGAGGGGGAAGGAAGAGGGCAGGAAGTAAACTGTGCTAGGACTCCAGAGTTTTAGTGTATTTGGTTGGAAAGATTGACTCCTGTGCCATCCATAAGCAGTGCTTCTAAATTTTTCCACCAAAGAATCCTAATGGAAGAAAATTCTGAGGCTTCTTCACGTGGTTTGTACTCTATGTATTAGTGAGTTTCACAAGTGAGCTAGATTGTAACCTCAACATCACTGCTCTTTCTAGAATGTCCTCTGATAAGCTAGAATCTACACTTCCCACAAACTCCTTTGCTTTCTGGGTCTAAGTTAGAATTGATCAATGAGAGGCATTTCTATGAAATTTGGAAGGCAGAGAAAAGGAGAAATGGTAGACATGGATTTCACAGCAGCTTCAAGATCTCTCTCAAAATATCTGCTTTGGTGCCATTAACAACTGAGACAGCAGAAGCTTCTGGATGTTCTCAAGATGCCCAGCAGTCCCTGGGCCCTCTCCTGAGGTCCACCAACCCTTCTGATGTTGGAAACCTCTAATTTTCTATATTAGACACTTTACACTTCTAATGCATCAAGTAGTTTATTTTCTTGACTGAAATATTAAAATATTCAAAATCAGCATTAAAGAGAAGAGTTTTCTATTTGTGTTGTTAATTTAGTAAATAACATGCTGCATTATTGAGTTGACTGACTTTGGAAAATTGAGCTGAAATAAAGATAACCCTGCATGTCTGGCAACCTGGCCATTTGTTATCTATTTCTCAAGTCACAGCATTTTGAGCTCCTAAATACCAGGGAAAAATGATTTTATTCTCGTTGACTTACAAATTGAGTTAGGGCATTTGTTAAATACAGATGGTATGAATTCTGTCAAAGTAGTGGTGCACTGTAACACTTTTAGGCTACTGTTTGTGTAAAACTTACATGTATTTCCTTGCTGACAGGTCAAAATGTTCAAATTTTAGGGTGAAATAAAACGTTTGGGATTCACAGGTTTTTTTTTTAAGTAAATAAAAAAATACACACCTTTTTTCTTTTCAGAAAAGATAACTGATGTTTACACTAATGAATAATTTTATCATATTTAAATGAGTTGAAAATGTCATTCAACTCATAAGTTCTCCAATCAACTTGCTTCAGTTCATTATGAAACCTTACTTATATTGCAGCAAACTGGACATGTGTAAGAAATACATACAATTTTGATTTTCAAAAAATACATGCTGAATAAATTACCTTTGTGAATCTTAGTTATTAAGGTGGACAGTGACTTTGTTTTCTTTGTACAGGTTTTATCTTTTATTATCACATTCATTTTTCTACATGAAGACACAAATAAAAATCATACCAACTACAAAAATGATTCTGCACTTTCCTTGCTAAACCACAGACGTGTAGTTCATGGAACAAGAAGCCGTCGAAGTCACTTTTTTTCCATTATAGATTTGTCTAAAAAAATGGATATTTGAAACACTTTTTGTGTACAAAATTTTGCCATTTTTAGCAAAAGCAGTGCAGACACGGAATGGCCCAGTGGCGACTTCTTTCTTCAAGGAGCTGTGTTGTCACCAACGCAGATGCTGCTGGGCACCCCACGCACTTGGTGGGCCCAACTCCAGACCCTGCGTCCATGGTTGCTCTCCTAGACTAAGCTCCATCTGTGCCCATAGCTTTCCTTTTGTAAAAATAAATGATTTCATGCCTACTGAAAAACAAGCCATGCTACATCAAAATGACACCAGTTACTAATATACCATCAATCACTGTGCAAGTCCAAAATATTTCCATAATATTTAACAACGAATACAACAGTCAAATACTTAATGCCATGTTGTCATTCATTTTACAAGGCTGGTTAATCTCAATCTGTGCTTGAGTTTTTCTTCTGAGTATACTAAAATGCACATGTGCCACTTGAGAAGGAAACTTTTTTAGTTTGACTCAAACAGATCCAGACATGCTGTCAGTCACAAAAACAACTTTAATTATATTTTCCATAGTACAACCTTCATCTTTCATAGCAATTCTAAAACTGACCTAGAGAAAAATTTCAAGATTTTTAAGAATATTTGGCTACTGTTCTATGTTTTTCATTTTTTTTTCTAATCAAGACTATTCTCTTTGTGTTCCAAATATTTTGTGTACATCTTCCCCTCATAATTAGTATGTTTCTTAAAAGAATGCAAGCCACTAAAGTTCCTGTTTTAAGTAACTGATAAGTGACCCAGTTACAATAATTTAAAGGACTACACTTTCAATAAAGGTATTAAAATCACAATAAAAAAATTTAAGTACTTTTGTTACTAGGAACTCACTGTGAAATGAATAGAAATAAATGCACTCGGCCTGTATGAGAATAAACATTTTATCAAGTACAGCTGTGACAAAAGACTGAACTGATTTGTGAAAGCCATCGAGACTTTCATCCATATAGCCATAAGATACAGCTTATCACATGAAAAAGCATGTACCTCTGTGTACTTGCAAAGACCATGTCTAAACAGGCCAGGGGCTGGCAGTGACCTCAGAACGGGTAGTTTTTGTCCATTCTCCTCTCTGCATCTCCCAGATCAGAACAAAGTCTCTAAGTTGCAACCACTCACAAAAAAAGTTTTCTATAGTCACGCTTGTGGAAAAAATGAAGTTTTGTTGACACACAAAGCAACTTTTACCTATTAGTGAAAAAACAAGCAAAATTAGTGACTCTCCAAAATAAAATTTTTGATTAAACCAGTGCTCCAGAAAGATGCAGAATGGCCACAGAGCACGTGATGCCATTTCTGGTGTTGAAATTTCAGGCAGCACAGCACCAAGTGAGGTAAGCGTTGGTCCCATGGAAGCACAGTTCTCATGAAAGGCCTATCCAGATACCTTTTAAGTCTTTTTTATTCTGGTCATAAAGATGCAGTTTACTTAGTTACTATTTTATTTGTTCCCATTTGAGGTCTCAGAGCTTGCCAAGTTAAACATTGCTTTCACTGCCAAACTGCTATATAAGAACAATATAAAATACAAACTATAAACTAAGATAATCCTCTTTATAGTATTCAGGTTAGTGCATTAAAACAAGGCAAGTGAGTTAATTGGCCAACATCTAATTGCTTTTCTAATGATGATACAAAATGGCACACAAGGTGAACACTAAATTTTAAGTGTCAGGTACTCAAAAACAGTAATTGTGGGAAAGTTACTCCTTAAAGAAATTTTGACCCAAAGAAACTTATATAACCATTAGCCTAAAGGACATAAGTGAAGGAAAATAATGGCCCACAAAACCGGACAGTATTTTTAAGATGTTTTAGTGGAATAACAAGTTGGGATTCTTTTGAATTCAAACACAAAAGGTATTGGTACTGATTTTTCATATTCTTCCTCCAAATTACATTAAACATTTATAGTAACTACACTTTCCCTGGTAAACATCAGACTTAAATAGATCATATGTAAAAACAATCTATCCTTAGTATTTTTACTAGGTAATCTACAGCAAAGGTTTAATATATACACATCAGGAATATGAAATATACTACAAAATTATTCACTGATTTCATTCAGCGTTAAAAAGGGTCTTAAAAGAAAACCAACAATAAAAGTGAAATCAATTATTTGTGCTGTTGTGTACTAGACCAAAAAAACCCAACAATCCACAAACAGTTATGCTAATTTTTTTAAGTTTTTGAGAATATTTTCTTTGTTGGACTAATTCAAAATTAAATTTGAGATTTTTAAAACTGACATAACAGAAATCTGGGTGCATGTTACATGGTGACAGAGTGATGCACAATAAACACACACACCTTTAAATTTATTAATTTCAAAAACTAAATCAAGCAAGGTAAATAAATTATAAAGGAAAGAAATATACAATGTGGGCAAAAACTTAACAGTTATTAAATTGAACAGCATGGTAGAGCTACGTCAGTAACGTTTTAGAAAAACTTTCAGTATTAGAAAATATCAGATTTAATCCAAAGGAATCCCCCCCCCATAAAAATAACAAAGTATGGGAACCATCCTTTACACAATAGCTTCAAAATAATAATTAAAAACAACCATGACAGGAATCTTCCTACATAATTTAGATAATGTAGTGCAATAGTGTGCTTCTTTATAGTTTTAACTCTTCAAACCCCATATGAGGAGACCGATAAACACAACTCCAATGACAAGGATAAAAATGATGATGCAGAGGGTTTTTCTGGACTTGCGCTGCAGATGCAAAGACAAAAAACATGTTTACAGATTTAGTATCTCTATAGCAACCAAAAATAATTTGGTTCATTTCTAGACTAAAGTCAGTAGTATTTTATTGCCCTCAAACTTTTGGCTGAGTTTTCTGCTTCTCAAAAATCACTTCAATACATATGACACTATTCTTTCAAAAAATGTTCTTCTTGAATTAATGCTACAATTCAGAAAGCAATTTTTCAACTTCTGTAATTTTTCTGGGGATGTGGCAGAGTTTTAAAAAGAAGAAACAGAGAAAGAAAATATACTGACTGAAACAAATACACTGAGGTTACATATGTATAAAAACAAAGAACAGCTTAAAAATATATATTCCCTACTTGAAAGGCTGAGGTGGAAGGATTACCTGAGCCCAGCAGGTTGAGGTTGTGGTGGCCATGAGCATGCCACTGCACTCCAGCCTGGGTGACAAGAGTGAGACGCCAACTCACAAAATTAAAATAAAAAAATAAATATATATATTTCTTAACTTTTATTAAAAAAAATTTATCCTAAAAATGAGTTCTCTGAAAATATTGGCAAGTATTGCTTGGTGACTTTCCCTAAACTACATTTATTAGTTTCCCAAATCATTCTCATTCTTTAATATTAATAGAAACTATATGTAAAAGACATACAAATAAAACCAAAGAGTAAACAAAATCATAATGCTGTCATTTAAAACATAAAAGTTAAAAATTTTGTTCCATTCTTCATTCCTGGCCCAGTTGTAGATGTCTGTATTTCTTTAATGGTTTATATATCTCACACCAGCGTGCAGGAGTCCTTTTTCTTACAAAGCAGAAAAACTTGTATTAATAAATTCATTTTGTGTCAACTAGAAGTACCACAAAATTTTCAAAAAGACACGTTTTTGAGTCTCAAATTATCTTGAAAACTGCAAATAGTTTCAGTTAGCTACATATTCACTTATTTTTACAACTGAATACTCCTCATATATTAAACCCAATTTCTCTGAATTCTCAATATCATCATGCATAAATACTGCAAATATTTTCAGTTAGCTACATATTCACTTATTTTTACAACTGAATACTCCTCATATATTAAACCCAATTTCTCTGAATTCTCAATATCATCATGCATAAATATTTTCTCCAGACTCTACTTGGTTACCACAGACACACATGTAAAGCACGTGTAAATCATGACAGGCATCCCACTATGGTATGTGTGTATTTCATGGGGACTCCCCTAGTATGGGGTAATGAAGGCTATGGCCACTGCAGTGATAAGAGTATTTATCACTTCCCTTTATGCTCACAGACCACCCAAAAATATCCAGGCTTCCATGTGGAACGACTGGAAAGCTGCCTCTTGTCTCAGCACTTGTATTCTTAGCCGTCCTCAACCTTCATGGCCTGTAGGAATTAAGTTTGGGGGCAGATTCCAAACCTGGGGTGCAGCTTGGGAAGACAAGTGCCTTCTCCCCAGGGTGGTTATAAGCCTGTCCTTCCACAAGGCAGAGGGAAAGTAAAATTTGGTGGTACATTCATCAAATACCCAAAAGCAAAACAAAATAACATGTAAACCTAGTCACCGATAGATCCTGTTAAACACTGAATTTCTGCAGTTATGTGGTAACAGCTCCACAAGACTTGTGGTGTTTACAGATTACTGTGTGCGTGCATGCATGTGTGTTTTCAACTATTCATGAGGGACACCTAAAGTCATGATATAGTAATATTAATTCTGCTAAGCTGCAGATCTGAATGACATGCACAAAGATGGTAAACAGTGGATACAACTGGTTATAACTCAGTAATCTCCAGACAGCTTCACTGTTATTTACACATCACTGAATATTCATTGATTTATCCAATGAAAAAGGGCAATGATATGAAAGGGAATTTCTAAGGTTAGTGAAAAGCAATTGAAAACATTTAAGAAGGTGAATATCTTAGATATTTTATAAGTCAATGACAAGGTCTGAGAAAACAATAAGTATGAATAACAGAAAAATAGAGTTTTAAAAGGGAAATCAATGATACTTGGCATTTAGGGGTTCCCAAGAAGCCTGGTCTCACCTTGATGAACATCAAAGATCGACATATTTTATGAGTTATTAATAGTTCATAGTTTTACATCAGTATTTTTTATTTTAAAATTGTGGGGTACAGTTAAGGGTTAGGTATACAAATATGCATTGTTCAGGCACCCTTGTTAATAAGGGGTGTCTCCCCATCCCCAGGATAGCTCATAATTTTAGTATTTGTATGGTAGTTGACACATAATTTGTATTGGACACAAATGAACTCTCTATATTAACTTGATTCACTTAAGAAATAAATCCATTCCTTGCAAAGGGTCTGCTGAATGTTGACAGAATATATAATGAATAAAGACAATGGCACTCCAAACTAACATGATTTCCACAAGACCTGAAGTGATCTCTCTAGGACAAGGATCAGTGTCTCTTTAGTCTAGAGTGCCACTGACAAAAGAAAGAAAAGGTAAACAGGAACAGCAAAAAATGAAGGGCGAAGTCTATCAGGGAGGTTTCTGGATAGAAATGTCACAATGAGATCAGAGACCCACAGCTACTAGAAAATCCTGGAGTTATCTCTATGACCCAAACACTAAACTTTCTCTCCCTGTGGACACAACTACTCTGCTTCAACCCTGAGAATACACAGGCTAAAACCAGTTTTATACTGACTGACATGATTTCTGACTCCTCTTCTATGGGATTTTAAAACTTAACTTTTCCAGTCACGTTAAAAGGTTAAGTTATAAGAGAATGGATTACAGTTAAACGTTACCTGATAATCTGCTGCCCTCGACAGTTGTTGATTTGCTTGTTGAACGTGTACTTCTGCATTTTCTACATTGGCCTCTATGCTATCTTTAAAATAAAACACACACACACACAACTGTTAAACATGTATCAATATCAGTAAGAAATCACCAGATTTCACTCACGCTAAGATTAAATATGCTCATTATTCAAAAACTAATACTAGTGGTACACCACAAACTTAGATTTTTTTTTAAGCTGGCTATAATTCTTCCCTATACTATTTCTCAGGTGACCCAAGCAATATACAAACATTTACAGAAAAGAACTTTGATCATCATTAGAGTACAACTCCAGTTCTATCTGGCAACCCCTCAAAAGTTCCATCACTCCACAATGACCAAATCAGTGTCAGCACCGTGGCTTGTCTCAGTCTCAAATGCCACAGCTTGTTCTATCTCAAGACCAATGTGCAAAATAGGAGATCAAGCCTCTTTTCCCACTACTAAAAATTTTCTTTACCACATACGAAGAAATCGGTAATTTTACTTTTCAAAGAATACTATCTCTTCAGAGGGAAACAAACAAACCAAAAAAACCAACCAAATCCTAAAATTTGGTATCTTAATTGACATGTTAGCCCTTAATGGTTCTCAGTTTCTTACCCCTCTTTTTCTCTATAAATGCAATCTACTTTAAAGTATCACAGCGTAATTCCTATGTTCCACCTAGTTTGTGTTCTATAATGGCTAACTTGGTACTCAGCGTCTGACAAATTTTATTTAGGGTAAATAAGAGTACTGGAAACCACTGGCTCTGTGGTCATCGTCAAACTACTTCTGTGCTGAAATCTAGCCTTCCCCTAGGGCCCATGCAACCTCAAGTGGTGGCAGTTTTTTTTCCCAACCTCCTTTGCCCTGGAGGTGGAACAGGTGTCGTTTTGTAGCAGGAGACGCTCTTGTCTCTTCCTCCCTCCCAGCTCTCAGCTGGAAAGTTCCTGATATCGAACTCAGCTACGCTCCCTGTTGCAGACACCTATAGATCTCATGGTCTTTTCATTCCTTCCATTTTTATCCCCTGACTCACTGATGCTCTCTTCAACACTTTTATGTGTATATGTGTACATGTGTGTGTGTGTATTCACTTTAAAAATATATTCTCTCTCTACACACACACATTCCCATAAGAGGGGACCCCCCAAAAAAAACCCCCAGAATTTATTTGTGAAAAACTGTAGTATTTATTCTTTCATGTTTAAACTTCAGTCACCTTCAAAGTACTCTCTGTCTGATGCAATACACCTCTCGAGATGCTTTTTCCACTGCTTGGAACAGTTTTTGAACTCATCAATTCTGATGCTTTTTAGTGCTTCTGCCATTTTTTGTTTCACCTCTTCCACACTGGCAAAATGTTTCCCTTTGAGGACTTTTTTCATCCAGGGAAATAAAAAAAAGGTACTCAGGGTGAGATTAGGTGAATAGGGTAGGGCATGGGGGTCATGCTGTCAAAAACTACTGAACACTCAGCACAGTGTGGGCAGGTGTGCTCACAAATCACCCATCATGAAATGGGCAAATACACTGAAAGACTCTCCAAAAAAAATTTGCTGAAGCTAAACGCAGCCTCTCACAACACCACCAGCTGGTACATGGATGCCAATGGGTTCTTAAAACACTCACCTAGGAATCCTGTATTACAAGGGTTACACTGTTCAAAAGATAATTCTGAGTTTTTTTGGTCTCCCTCATATATCCTCTAAACATTTTTTTCTCCAATATCCAACTGCTGACTTTCCTCCTACCCTGGCCTCTCAATTCACTCACCACACTTGTTTCAAAGACCTTGCCTATTACTTTTTCTCAGCTACTCATGTCCATGGTCACATCCCAAACCTTGTCATGACCAGTAACTGTAGTTGCTCTATAATCTCAATTTCAAGGGCCTCAGGCTCTGACCACCATCCCTATCTTTACACCTCACTCTTTCTAAATGCCTTAACTGCAACAACGTTCAGCCTTCGCTGATTCGATTTACTTTTTCACTGTCCTCACCATACTTCATGTCTTCATTTCCTCCTTACCTACTGAGACTTCATGGGCAATCAACTAGCCTCACTTTTTGGCATTCAACCTCTGCCCCGTGCCCTTCTACTTTATATGACAAAGCCCCACCAGTATCCGTGGATGCAAAACAGATTAATCTTATGCTGATTTACTTCATTTTAAGGTCATGATTCACGAGGGCTTTCTCATTCTCAGCTAGTGACCATGATTTTCAGCTCATGGAAACAACAGGAACAATCAGAAGGCATTTCTGCACTTTCTCATGACGCTGACTACATGCCATATCTGTGTGCTCTACACCTACCTTGCTGTCGGGGAGGAAATGCCGTGCCCTGAGCAAGAGCCAACCTTTCCATTTGTGCATTTTACACCATTCCTAATCACTTAACCAAGGTCCTCAGTCCAGCAAGCTTCCTCTCTCTTTCTCTCTCACTTATCATCAATATCTCTTTCCCTGGTAAATCATTCCCATCAGTCTCATAGCTGCCATCTTAAAAACAAACAAACTGAACAACCTCTCATTTATTCCACATCTACTTCTGCAGCTATGACCTCATTCTCTGTTCCACTTACCCTCCTGACTCTTTGAAAGGGTCATCCATACTTGGTATCTTCCATTGTTCTCCCATTCTCTCTTGAACCTACTTTTATTACACTTTTACCTACACTATTTCACCAACACAGCTTTTATCGAGGTCACCTATGCCTTAGACATTGTTAAATCCTGCAGTCAGCTGGGCGTGGTGGCTCATGCTTGTAACCCCAGCACTTTGGGAAGCCAAGGGCGGGAGGATAGCTTGAGCCCAAGGGTTCAAGACCAGCCTGGGCAACAAGGTGAGATCTTGTCTCTACAAAAAATAAAAATAAAAAGATTAGCCAGTATGATGGCATGCACCTGTGTCTCAGCTACTTGGGAGCCTGAAGCAGAAGGATCTCCTGAGACCAGGAGGTATAGGCTTCAGTGAGCCATGCCTATGCCATTGCACTTCAGCCTGGGTGACAGAGTGAGAACCTGACTCAAAAATGAATGAATGAATGAATGAATGAATGAATAAATCCCACAGTCAATTCTCAATCATCATTTTACTTGACCTAACATCAGCATTTGAAACAGGTGACCATCCATTGTTCTTAAAATACTGTCTCCACTTCCTTTCTAGGACAATACATTCACTTGGTTTCCCTCTATAACACGGGGCATTCTTAGTCTTCCTACTGGTTTCTTCCTCAGCTGTCTAGGCTCTAAATCAGGGGTTGAAAAAGTTTTTCTACAAAGGGCCAGAGAGTAAATAATTGAAGCTTCATGGGTCTTACAATCTCACTAAATGCTTAGTGTATTACATAAACTAAGTAATACTAATATATTAGCCTGCCAAAAAGCTATTAGAATGCATGATAAGGCAAATGGTTATCTATTCACTACAACCTAAAAGACAAGACAACATGCACAATTACAAATACCACAAGTTTCCCCCAAAATCTCTGGCATAATGAAAATTAAATTAGAAAAAAACAAAAACCAGAGGCCCTGGAAATAAGCTGGAATGATTTTACATGGCGCCTTCCACGGTCTCAGCAGCAATAGGCCCTGATTGAATTTGGGCTTCTGAAATAAATGAAGCTGATCATTTCAACCAGCAGGAGCCAAACATGAGGTCTGTTTTAGATAATGCCAAGGGTGATGCTTTGGCTACTATAGAGACTATGTTTTTGATTCACGGGAAACCACAGTCACTCTTGAGTGGGGAAGTTATCACAGGTAAACTGCATGTAGCTTGCCACTACCTCACAAAATCTAAATCAGTAGGTCTTACCTATTACATCTCCTTGTTCATGAATCATCATTCCCAGATCTTTAAATATTTCATTAATATCCATAATATCAGCCTACAAGACAAAGGTATGTGTCATTATAATCACAAATTCAGTCATCACAACCACAGAAGGGGAAATTTTAAGAACCCAAACCACCGCTCACACTTAGGAGAGCATACATCTTTGGAACTATCAGAAAATATTTTACAATATGCAATGCTATAATTTAAAAGACTTTAGAACAGTCATCGTTCTTTTAAAATAGATTTGTGACATTAAAAACACCAAGTGAGGCCAAGATGGAAACAAAGGATCTACAGAGAAGGGCCATAGGTATTGATAGTTTTGTCAATGCAAGCAGTATTGGCTTACAAGAGCACAAAAGATTTCTTATGCATATTTCTAGTTAAAATTTACAGACTGATTTAACAATTTAAAGAATAAAATGTTAGGTGTCAAGTTTGGAGTCTCACGTTAATAAATATGAATATGCAATAAGTTAGTGAAGTTATAAATGTCATTACTGGGTAAAGAAGTTAAAAATTCATTGGATAAAGAAAAAAATATAAATTTACTTTTCTTTAATGACAGTTAACTACTTCATACAGATTTCACAAAGACTAAAGGAAATCACCGCATAAAGAATTCATCACATAGCACCTGGCACATGGAAGGTCTTCAATAAACTGTAGCCTTTTAAAACTGTTATTAGCCTACCTTCTAGGAACTATGACTTAATTCTTTAGATCTCCTTGATGACATAAATATATAAAGAGACATAAAATATTTTTAAAGCCTTTGTTAAAAAAAGAAGTCTTATTCATAGAGGTATGATGTGTATCATGTGCCATGGGATCCAGATACTCTGGACAGACATTTATCTCTACCCTGATATTTTCTCATTCCCAATATAACTTGCAGATAGATGACCTAACAGAATAAAGAAATTGAGGTAAGAGGGAGTATGTTCTCTTATCCTAGCAAAAATATTAAAGATTTTTTTTTTTTTAGATTAGAAAATATCAAGAGAGAGAGACAGAGAAAGAGAAGATTCACCTCCCCAAGGTAGGGGAGGGGGACCAAAGCCAGGAAGCATGGCAACAGCCAGAGCTCAAAGAGCTCATAGCCACACCACAGTCTAGCAAGTCAATGGCCAAGAGATTTTATTTAAAAAGGAATCATTCTAATTAATGTATCAGAAATGCTACCAAATTGATACATTAATTTTCTCAACTCCTCTCCTAGCATGACCCAACCATCCTGAGAATAAACTAAGAACAGGGCAGCATCCCAGCTCTACAATATAATGCTTACTTCAAGTTGCCTGATAGAAGACTCTCTCTCATGAATAAGGCGGAGATCATCTTCTGTAATTTCTTCATCCTGCACCTGTACTTGCGGTTGAGTTTGGCTAATAAAAAAAAAGGAATATGAAATAAACAAAGATGGTGTTAAAAACAATGAAACTTACTTCCTATTTAAGATATACTCATTAAATAGGATATTTTGTTCTTCACAGTCACAGCACAACTCACTTTAAAAACTTCTAAGAATAGATATATGGAATATATTAATCAAATTTTATTCATTTTTCATTCTACTTTTATCTAGTATAGGTTTAGAATTATTATTTAATTACTGGAAACTATTTTTGGCAACTGAGTATTTTTTCTTGGCTGACTTAAACGTCTCATAAGGAATTAATCTATATTAATAATTAAGTCAATAAATATTTATTTGGATAATTTACTTAATATTTTATAATAAGTACTTTATACTTATGTAAATACTTCAAATTTACTATGCTTTAAATTTGTAACTGACTTGGGATATTTAAAATATATTACGTTGAAAGTTTTATCGCAGGGACTATAATGTATAAAATTTGAACAATTAACTTTTGATCTGTAATATGTTTTGTATTTCTTACCTTTCCCAAGATACAAGATTCCTTTCTTTTGAACTGTCCTCAGGAAAACCACCCTGAGTAATTTAGCAAAAAAATGAATTGAGAAGAGGCAAAGATAGCAAAAACAAGACAACATAAACAACACTCACATTTTCCCTTATCATAATCTAAACCAACTGATGTACACATATGTGTGTGCATGCATGTGTATATGGGGGAGGCGTGTGTGTATGTAGAGAAAGAGAGATAAGCTGTTATTCTAATTAAGTCAACTGCTTATATATAACTTTATACGCTAAGCTGACAAGAAAGAAATTCATTAAATATTCTCAAAGGCCAAATAGCATTTGGTTAAAACTTAATGTAGTGTTGGAATCCATACATTAAGAATAAGAAAACAACTTGTGATGGTTTCTAAGGGAATTTAACATTAGAATAATTAAAAATTCCACAGTAAATCTTCCTTTATTTTCTCCAGGTTTATATCTATTCTCAATATTCATAGAATATTATTTGTTCCATTTATCGCCTATCATCTTGGTGTAATTCAGGAGTAAAGTGCTATCTATACTAGCATTTACACAAATGGGAAGCTTCAGTGCCAAGTAATACTATTCAGGCTTTGATCTTTAATCTTTTTTGACAACATATGTCTCTAGATTATTATATAATCTGTAATCATCTATTCCTTGACACAAACAAAATAACCACAGAAACACATAATCATCATCTTTCTTAAAAATTGAGTGGAAAAAGCATAAAACTAAATATTCGATGTTGAGTTTTAAGATATTCCAAGATCTTTATGACTTTAAAAAAAATCATGCTAATGTAGATTTTTATGAGACACTTGGAAAACATGTTAGTTTTTAGAATGTCTTTTAAAATACTTACAGATACTCTGGAACTGGCTCTTACTCGAGCAACAAACTCTTTCTCTCGCTCAGCTGCCTGTCTCTGGACCTTCTGGAAGTTTGTCAGTGATGTTGTAAACTCAGCCACTAAGCGATCCTTTTGTATTTTCCTTTGACGCTAGAGGAAAGGGGGGAAAAACCTCCTAGAATCAAGTTGTGAAGTTCTACAGAATTCGTGACAGTTGTTTTATCACTAGCTGGCTCTTTATTTAATCCTAAAATCTTCACTCACTCCCCGATTATAGTTGCTGATGAACTCTTAGTTACATTTTGACACTGTATGTTCAAATATTATGCACATTCTACCTCAGGGCAAAAGGCCCATCCATAATACTGGACTTTTCATCTCAAATTTTCATGCTGCTAAAAACAGGGCCGCGATTTTGAGGTTATTTTAAAGTGATTCTTGTTTCAGGAAAATAAAGCCTCATGCTTTTACCTAAGTAAGTCATAACTTCCATTAAGTAAGAAAACAAACATATGCCCTAGGACACTTCACATCTTGAATGAGTGTGCGTGTTGCATTGACTCAGTCCCGGAAGGCCAGGAAACAATTACTCAGGAAGCATTTTCTTAGAACTTACTTAATTATGGGTCAGGACAATTGCATGGAAACAATTTTCACTTCATTGAACCACAGGATACTACCTGAGCAATTAAATATAGTTTTGTGTTCTGTGAACTAATCTCAAATAGAATTTTTTGGTCCCCTAATTTCCTTTACAGCATAACAGTTCAAAGATCCTACAATTCATTTGATTTCTTTCACATTTATTACGTCAACAACGTGTTTTAAAGCTCGATACCTGTTCACTGGGGGTGGTAGGCAGAGATCCAAACTCTTTAATGTACTTATCTGTTTCTTTGGCAAGTTGGTTAGTATACTGCTGCTTCTGTTGCCTAAAGTGAGAAAACACACATTATAGCCAAAGAGCTAATATACTTTTTTAAGCTACAACTCCAATCTTGAATCAAGTCTTGATGGATAGCTTACTAAAAATTCCTTTTTCGTAGGCTGGCTCTAAACTTTCTCTACCAAAACAAATTTTCAGAACCTATTCTTTGATAAATATTGAGCAAGTATTACACGGCAGCCTCTTCACTCACACAGAGTAACCAAACTTAGAGCAATAAACATCAGCAGCTATTTAGAAACACAGATGACTTGAGTCAAAAAGAAACTTAACTGAGAGACTGCTGGATCTCTGATCCTTTATGTCTGAGATACTGAGGGTGTGGAAGCCTTTTTTCTGCATCCCACACCTGGGAGGTTGCTTGAGCAAGTAAAGATTAGTTGCCTTAGACTCTGCCCAGTTCCTAGGCCTTAGGTATATGTGGCCTCCATTTTTTTATGTGGATATTTACATGTTACAGATATATTTTTTAATGGGGGTAGAAGGGAAAAAAGTAGTAACAGTACTAACTTACTATTATTTAAGCTTGCTGTGAAAAAAATAACAGGAGTTCCTTGTAAAGAGAACACAACGCAATAAAAGAAGTAAACTACAAATGCCCCTCAGTAACTATGAGGGATTGGTTCCAGGAGCCCTACAGATGTAAAAATCCATAGATGCTCAAATCCCTGAAATAAAATGTCACAGTGCTTGCACATAACCTAGGCACATCCTCCCTATACTTTAAATCATTTATAGGTTACTTATAATAACCAATACACTGTAAATGCTATATATAGTGTTCTACTGTATTGTTTAATTTTAATTTTTATTATTTTAAACTGCTATTTTTCTTAAATATGCTTGATATGCAGTTGGTTGAATTTGAGGATGTATAACCTGCAGATATGAAGGGCCAATTGTATAACCATACTTTACTTAGCTAGCTCATAAAGTAAAAAGATTTCTAGCTAAAAAAAAAAAAGCCACTAATAGTATATGCTTATATTAATGTGCTATTTTACAAATTACAATTTCAGTACCTCTCATACATACGCCCTCTTATTATGACTAGCCACTAAGGATCCTTTAAAATAATGAGCTACTACTTAAGAATATGCTTAAGTATAGCTATCTGTATTTGACTGCTAAGGGAGAATCATAATCTATTTAGATCTCTATTTACCAAATACTCTATCTTTAATTATTTTTAATCTTTGAAAGTAGTAATATAGTCAAAGGTTTTTAAAGAATACCTTAATAATCATGTCTACATATTCAGTCTCCACTATTAACTCTAACAAAACAATTCAACTGTTAAAAATGATGTATTCTTATTTCATTTTATTTTAATAAGTGGTGTATTATTTAAATTTAGAGAATTTTTACCACCTTGACATCTATCCACTCTAACAAATACAATATAAGTTAGAGATAACTGTAATTTATTTAAATTGTACTTTGAATTCCTATTATCTATTTTCTAATTTCTTCCTCTTTGCAATTTTCCCTCTATAGTTAATATTGTCTGGAAAAATCACTTACTAGAAATATATTACTTGAAAAATATATAGCCATAGCAGCATTGAAATAAATAAGATTTAACAGTTAAATTCTGAATGATACTGGACAAATAGCAAAATCCACAAGAAACATATTTTGCTTATAAGTAAAATGAAAATAGTTCTTTTTTATCATCTATCTCACTCCACTCTTGTAAGGTTTAGGGGAGGAACACTTTGCAAATAAAATCTACAAAATATCACAGACAAAATATTATTGCTGATCTTCTAACATATTAGCTTACTGAAATATGTATTATATAACTTCACTGTAGCTTTTTTATTAAAACAGAAGCTAAGGCCTTCTGAAATTCAAGGATATAGGTATAAACTTTTGGGGGATGATTCATAATACTAAATATGTATTGAATCTAAACTAAATAAATATCTGGTCCCTGGAGAGATTGTTAGCTAAGGAAAGTAAATCGCATATACTGAGATGCTAAGAGCATAACTTTTCAAAAGCTGTCAGAAACAATATATTTAAAAAGTGTAAGAAAGGCAACTAAAGGAATTCTGCTTTGATACAGTAAACCAGGTCTTCAAAATAAAGAAAAAGACTTGTCTCCTCTGACATGGAAAAACCTACACAAAAGCTTGTGTACATACATTGGTACAAACGTATGGATAAAGCAGCAGAAAATTTTATTAATTTTCTATTGTTTTCTCCAGTAAACATAACATTATATACCATCAAAGCAAGATAATAGCAGCACTAAGTTTAATTTTGTTCTCTTTTTAAATTAAATACTTACAGCTGTTGCCTCAATTCAGGTGAATCTTCAGGTGTTCCAAGTTGATTCAGAGTTCTCTGTATTTCCACAGCTATTATAATAGAAAATTAATGCATTGTTAATTGTTACAAATGGCAAAGCAATAAGTTAAAATAATAAGTTACGAATTTATACATACAAGCAACCAGGCAGTTAATAAAAGAAAAACAAAAAACAGTTTATTTAAATCTAATTAGAGACAAAAATGATTAATTTTCAAGAGAAAATTGTGTGCGAATGTTAACTTGTAAAACTGCAATTATAATTTAAAATGTTTTCCTAGTCCACAGGACATTAAGTAAATACAATGGCACACTTAATTCTACTGACATAAAAGTTGTGAGGAGACTAACTGTAGCAATTACCTATTTAATTAGAATATAAAATGAATGGATTATAGCTAATAAATGAGAAAGAAATAAGAGAATTAAAAAAAATCATTTTCAATGATCTACATAGTAACTGATTCAAGCAACGATCATCAAAAGATGCTAAAACTAGAAACTATTCATATTCACACAACTTTCAAATTACCTTAAAGATGTCAGTGATTTTAACTTTACCAGAGATCTGCTGTCTAAAAACAAATGGTTAAATTTAGCACCAACAACGAAACAAACTGAAATAAGCCTCCTCACATGATGCAATGAGGTAGTCACAATATGACCTATGTATTTTTCTTGCCAAAATGCTTAACCTGAATCTAATCATGAGGAAGAAATCAGACCCAACTAGACTGGGATAATCTACAACTTGCTGTTGGACATTTTAAAATGTCAATGTCACCAAAAAAAATAAAAAATAAAGAAAGGCAGGCACTGGAGCTTTCTAAACAGCTAAAGCACACAAAACACTAAAATACCCAAAAGGTGCTGAATGATATTTTACTGGATTGTAAATCAGAAAAAAGAAAGCACTATTTTAAAAATTGTGGAAACAACTGGAGAAACATGAAGAGAGAAAAATACATTAAACAAAAGTTGAAAAATGTCAACAACTGGTGAACCTGGGTGAAGGGTTCATCCTCTTATATCTTGTTGAGGTTTAGCATATTCAAAGATTTTTAAGTGAAAAGTCGGGGTTTAAAAGTCATGTTAAGCCCACAATGCAGGAGTCTATGACTACTGCCTTTATAAAATAAGGGCTGTTCACAAAAGGGGAGGGCTTATAGTTTTATGGATGTGTGTACATAAGTAAAATATCAAGTAGAAGCCGAAAATCAGTCTCAAAGAACATTCTCTAGCTCACTTCTAAGAACTAAAGAAAAACAATACAACTCACCCATTCTTCTTATCTAAATGAGTGTTTCATTTATGTAGCTTAAATGATTCACAAGGGAGAGACCCAAAAAACCAGAATTATCTTTTGGGGGGCAGGCCCCCTGTAGCACACGCTTCCCCCACTAGGTCAGTGTTGTCGTGATACCCATGGTATCAGTGTACCGGCTAGCATTGTTGTGAGAGGCTGTGTTCAGTTTCAGTGAATTTTCTTGTGGCAAACAGGTGACGGGTTCTTCTACCATGACAATGTACCTGCCCACATTGCACTGAGTGTTCAGTATTTTTTTATTTAAAATGGCATGACTCCCAGAGCCCATCCTCCCTATTCACTAGATCTTGCCCCAAGCGACTTTTTTGTTTTCCTGTACGAAAAAAAGTCCTCAAAGAGAAATGGCTTGCTGATGTGGAAGAGGTGAAACAAAAAATGGCAGAAGTACTAAAAGGCATAAAAATGGATGGGTTCAAAACTGTTTTCAGAGTGGAAAAAGCGCCTTGATAGGTGTATTGCAACCAATGGAGAGTACTCTGAAAGTGACTCAAGTTTAAACATGTAAGAATAAATACACAATTTTTTATAAGTAAATTCCATGTATTTGGGGTCCCCCTACTTGTGAACTCTATAGAATGATAAAGTATTCTAAAATGCAGAATAATATTTGTTTGCTGGGGATGATGTAATGAACACTGCTTTCAAGTCAAAGCTAGAAAATAGACAAGAGAGGAATTATATAGCATATAGCAACTGCTACCATTTGGCTAATTTCAAAAATACTTTTTGCTTCTTTGGTGTCGATTTCCCTTTTGTAGTATGGAGAAATTTTATTTGCTGTTTTTAACTTACGGCTGCTTGTGATGAGTTATATAGTTCCCTCCCAACCTCAGATTTTCTTGGACTGAACTGCTTGATAGAGACTTAAAGCTTTTATTTAAAAAAAAAAAAAAAATGTGGGGCACAGTGGCTCATGCCTGTCAGCACACTGAGAGGCCACAGCGGGCGGATTGCTTGAGCCTAGGAGTTCAAGACCAGCCTGGGCAATATAGTAAGACTTCGTCTCTACAAAAAAATTTAAAAAATAAGTTGGTGTGGTGGCACACGCCTGTAGTCCCAGCTACTTGGAAGGATGAGGTGGAAAGATTGTCTGAGCCTGGGAGGTAGAGGCTGCAGTAAGCCATGGTCATGCTACTGCACTCTAGCCTAGGCAACACAACGAGACTCTGATTAAAAAAAAGAACAAGAAAAAGTATGCTAATGATACAAACTGCAGTATGGGCCTCTAAAGAACAGAAGCAGGTATTCTGCATAACGCTAAAGGGTTCTTCTTTTTTTAAAAAAGTCACATTAAATGACAAGAAATATATTCAGTAGATGACACCAGGAAAACTGACTGTCATTGGTGGGGGAAAACAGAATACTACCTCATATCATATATCAATAAATTTGTAATTTAAATATTAAAATTAAAAACATTAAAAAGTCTACTCTTAAAATTAAAATTAAATTTAAAATTAAAAACATTACAAAGTCTACTCTTCACAGAGTGAAACTACCAAACCAAAAAGCCTAAATGAACGAAAAGGGAAAAGAAAACCTCCTACGAATTGGTAACAGACACACAACCTAACAAAAAAACGAACAAAAGTTATAATCTTAGAGTTTACAAAAGGCACATAAATATAACAAAATTTCAACTTCACTGATAATCAACTTTTCACATTTCAGATTGGTAAAATAAGTAGGTGAGAATATAATTATAGTCAAAAGCCTTAAAAACAAAGGTAGAGACTTCATAATATGTAAGAAAGAGGGAGTAATATTCGCACTATATGAAGCACTAGAAATAACTGAAAAGAGGCAGACAATCTAGTATAAAAATGGTTCAAGAACAAGAACTTTAGTAATATTCATGAATAAGCTGAATAGCAAAAGACTGAAATGTGTATCAATCTTGGAAAAGATCACCAACTATATAATATGAACATTATATACAATTACTCAGATAATAAAAAGAAGTGAATACAGTGGCTTCTGACAGGCCACTGGGATCCTAAATCCACCAGTTTCTGAACAGATATACTTAGCAAGTCCCAGTTATTACCCACACTTCCTGAGTAAGGGCTATACGGGAAGAAAGAAATCACTGGAAGCCCTTGGAGATTCCCTGCACTAACAAAGCAGTAACCGAAGAGCAACAATCTACTCCACGGAAACTACCCAGAAATGCCACCACAAGTGGTGATTACCCTCCTATTCCTATTTAACTGTCCTGTCTACAGAACTAACGGAAGCTTATTCAGATGGTGACTCCAACTGTAACGCTCCTCAAAGTGTGATTTACTAGAAAAGAGCATCAAAATCTCAGGTACTTGCTGATATGGCAACTACTTTTTGTACTATCCTAAAAAATAGAGAATATGAGAAGGAATCTGCTATCCATCGAGTGAGACAGCTGTGACTCAATTTTCAAGACTAGTGATCATCTCTTACAGGACACTACCCTAACACAATATACTGGTTACTTCTACTTTTAGGACCTGAAAAGTAGGAAACAACATGTACTCTTAGATGCCTGAGAAGGGTAAGCATGTCAGCAGGTAGAAGATAAATTCCATGGAATACAGTATGCTGTTTTTTTCAGTAAGGAATCTTGGCTCAAATCAGCTGAAAAGGTGGCAGATATATTTCTGAAAAGTGCTTTTCTTTGCAGCTACAAGTACAAATGGGAAAAGGTGTTTGGTGAAACTTTTTATGCTGCTCCAACTCTTTACTGAACGGCCCAAGAAATTTTAGCTACAACCCCCGCCCCCCCCAAAAAACGGCTGTCTGGCTAGTTAAGTGGTAGTGTAAGCAGCTCTACAACTTCGCTCTAACGATACAGTTGCTCCAATTGTAACAAGCCTGTGTAATACCAAGACACTGTAGAAAATCAGTGGCATGTCCCAGCAGAAAAAATGTAAATGTCCCACAGAAGACTGGGGCAAAACCATGCTCTCTTTGGCAAACCAACGTTACCCTTCTCAGGACTAGTGCCGGCCTTGCTCATGAGCCCCAGATAAAGCGTAAACAATGGATGCCAGATAACCATGTGACCTAAATTGGCCTCCAGGAATTAAGTGTTGTCCTATTGCTGGTGTATCCTTTCTACATTTTGCTCTATGTATGTCAGTCAGCCTGCCCCTCATCCCAACTTCTACAGCACTTGTTCAGTGGGAGAACAAACTAGCAAGGGTTGTAGGAATAAAAGCATGTACAGCCTTACCAACATCGACTTCCCCTTACTCAGACTGACATGCCCACTGGCACAGTCACACGCTAATTTGCAACAACAGCAATCAAAAGCACATTGGTGATATGGTGCCGTTCTTGAGCACATCAGCCAGCGGGCAAGTGGCAAGACAATGGAGGAGGCAGAATGCTATCGTCACAAAAACAGTGCTATTGGGATTGTTATGCTTCCTCTACCCAGCCCCCTCACAATTCTTCCAGACTTCTAACTCATGTATTAATCACAGTCATGGAGTTCCCCACACCAGTGTTTCTGATCAAGAAATCCTAAGAGAAAAAGTAACAGATGTCCCAAGGATGGCAGGATTCACCGTTCTGCCATGTACTCTTATTGTCCAGAAGCTGCTGGACTTCTAGAATGCTTACTGGCCAACTGAAGATTCAATCATGGTATCACCTGGGAGACAATACCCTGGGAAGTTGAAGTGCTGTCTTACAGAATCTTTACGGTCTCAACAACCACTCCAGAGTGCTGTTTCACCTACAGCC